AAAAAAAAATCTTAAAATGTTAGATTCTTCGTCTTAAAATGTTAAATTGTTAGATAAAACCATCATTAAAAACTATATCATAATTTTGAATATTTATATAATTTATTTTCATCGCAATCCTTCTTTCATCAACTTAACGATTTATCTCATAACCCATTAACTATATCTACATTAAATTCAGACTATGTATATTTGAGTTATTTTATGTAAATTGCAGGAAATTTATAAAACATTAATAGATTTATTTTATAATATATGTTTATATATGCTATAAAATATGTTATATTATATGTTATTATATGTTTAAAAAAATAATAAAAATAGAAATATTGCATTTAAAAATTAGATAATTCTTAATGATATTTGCAAAAAAGATGCAAACAAATGAATATTTTTATTTGAAATAAGCTGAAAAACAATTCAATTCAGCATAATTCTATATATATAATGTATAATATTCCATCTAGCAATAATAATTCTAATATACTAGCAATAATAATTCAGCATAATACTTTCACTTATATCAATAATGAGAAGCATTAATTTCTTCAAAATTAAAATTTTTAAAATTTATGAAAATAACTCATAAATATTTTAAGCATATTTTGTATTTTTTTTTCTTTTACTTTCTCTTGTATAATGCAATAGTACTAAATAAATTTCAAACAATGCATACATTTTTGAGAATGTTCAAATATGTGTCCAGGACCTACTGAACTAGCTACTGATAATACATTGAAATAAAAATAACAAAAGTACCTTTTTTTTTAATTATGCATTATGTCTTACTATTATTACATATCAGTTGATGAGCAATTTCTAATTTTCACGACATTTCAGACGCTAAGATTGACTAGTGTTACGTTAATGACCTAATATTTTCCCCTAATGTCAAAAAAAAAATTTTTTTTGCTAATAATAAATCTTAAAATTAATAGAAAGCTGAAGTAAAAATCTAATGAATGAAAAATAATTTTGCTAACAATTTATTCATTCATCATTTTAAATTAAAAGGAAGACTGAAACTCTTAATCCCCCTCTTTGAAATACATTTTAGTTAATTAATTCGTAAAAACAGTTTCCTTTAAAACAATATTATTTAATAGCTGATTAATAAAATTTTTCGCATTTAGTCTTCAAAACAGCAAAATTAATTACTGTAGAAACTTTGAATGAGATTAAAAACTTGCATTGAAAACAATTTCATGAAGAGAAAGGGGCCAATGGTGCAACTGCCACAAGGATCAATCCAAAGAGGGCACCCAATAAATGTCTGAAGTCACAAAAGCTTTCAGTTTTTTACTGTAATTATATCTTTTATTCACATATTTTAACAAATAAATATTTGAATCTAGGAAAGATTTATGAAGAATCATATAATTTTCAAATAAATTTAATAATGAAGTTTTTGCACATTAGAAAATTAAAGAGAAAAATCAATCACACATTAAATAAAATGTTCTCTACATTTAAGGAAAAAAATTGGGAATTATTTGTTAGAAGCAATTAATTTTTTGTCACAAAAAAAATCTCAAATATATTAACTTAAAAAATGAATTTGAAGTGCGGATTTAGGTTTTTATAAATAATCTTACGAATTTTTATTTACATAATTTTTAAAATAGTTTTTTTTTTATTCCCCCAGTGATTGCACACTTTAAGAGCTCGTAATAACCGAAAATTGTTCTCAAAATTCAAAATTTAGAAGTCAGTTAATATATCTTTAAAAATAAAAGTACACTGTAAAAATTTCAGATCAAATTAAGGTAAAAAGTACTGGCAACCTGAGTGCAGTAAAATTTTATACCACAATTTTTACAGTAATATTTATTTCAATACAATGATTCGGTGGTTTTACAGTAAAAATTACTGTAAACATTACGGTATATCAATTTTGTTTCATAAAATTTTACAGTAAAAGGCACTCGCTCTCTAAGTGCCGGTACTTTTTAACTTAATTTGATCAGGAAATTTTTACAGTACACCGTAAAAAAATTCTCGAAACTTTTCTAAATATATGAAGCAGCTACGGTGCATGCAGTTTTGAAAGCCGTTTCTGAATATTTTGGAAACCTCTGAAACTAAATCATTGTTGATGTGATTCAGTTTCGTACTTCAAAAAATAAAAGGATGGGTAGGATACATGGATAGGAATGGATAGGAAACATGCTATCAAATGAAGTTCTCTATAATTTTCGGAAACATTTTTGTCGAGTTTCGGAAATTTTTTACAGTGTATAGTCGTATGTTTTTGTGCAAAGTGTAAAATAGCCTTTTTGTCTCTAAAATTTCCAGACGTATGTAACTAAAATTATCTGAAGTGCTAAATATATCATTATAATTATCTAAAGTAGTGAAGGAGTGAAAATTTAAAAACATTTATTTCATGCATAACCAGAGACACTCCATTATATCTGAAAGCAATATTTCTCCAAAGGATATGCTTAGACTCATTCATCAATTATATCAAGTTTATTCTAATATTTAATTTTATCACCGTGAAAAGCCGACCCAAATCTTTGGGCTTACGACAACTTATGTTTAACTCCAAAGCCTTGTAATTTTGAACCCCATCCAGAAGATAAGGGAACTCCTGGATCAAGTATTGGGAGAAATTTGACTTCGTGGAGGAATTTTTGATGAAACTAACCCGCATTTGCTCTACATGAAAAGGAAAACCACGAAAACCTCCCATGGTTAGTCTGACGATAAGGGGACTCTAACCCATGATCCACCTACCACTGAGGGTATTTTACGTCAGAACTGTGGTCAGTGCAAGCCGAATGTGGAATTCGTATCGACCAGCCATCGCTGAAATTCGAACTCGGGTTGCCTCATTTGAAGGCGAACGCTCTATACCCTGAGCCATTAAGGCTCCTTTATCAAGTTTAATAATATCTAAACAATATTTATATTTTTCAAATGTTCCTCTAAAAATTCATATGTATAAGTAACTAAATGAAATTTTTATGCACGCCTATAGAGTTTTAAGTTTTTTCTTCCGCAACAATGGCTAGTGATTTACTTTTTTATATTTCTTTGGACGAAATATTAAATAGCAAGCACTCTGAAGAATTATTGGTAAAACAATAGCAACTATTCAAATAGCTGAAAGTAACTTAGTTCTCTTTTCTCTGGTCGGTGGCACTGAAATTCAGGAGCATTTCACAATAAGAATTATTTCAGTTTCCTTTCATATCTTATACCTGTTTCAACTTGACCCTATGCCTGGCCTCTTTTAGATAACCTCTGGGCAAAAAAGTAAGGAAATATAGTGAAGATATTTATGATGATTGGCACATTTGTGCCAGACAAAGTAAAAATTTTCTCTCACCCCCATAAATTACTTATTAAGAAGATAAATAAGGATTTTAATTCGTTTTATTAACAAAGAATAGTAAAAGATAATGTTTTATCGGTTCCTTTTCAAAATTGGAATACTGGGTGTAATTACTGTTTCAAATATTTAATTATGTTAAAATAAAGAATTTTCATTTAAGATTTTTAGAAGTAAAATATTTAAACTTCTACTGAAATCTACATTGATTAAATTAAGATATTTTTGTGATTTTTAATAAAAGAAAAAAAAATTTAATTATTTTTCAATTATTAAATAATTTAAATTATGTTTTCTTTGTACAAAAAAATTTTACTTTTTTAAAGACAAAAATATTTCAGCCGGACTTACGACCTTTCTTTTACGACCAAATTCAGATTAACTTTAAGATTAAAGTCAGAGTAAAGTAAGATTAACTTTAAGCTTTAAATAAGATAAAAGTAAGATCAAATTTTCAAGATTAAAATGCATGCATAATAATTTAAAGGATATAAAACTAACTTTTAAACTAAATTTAAATTAAATGTTTTTTGCTTTAAATTAAGTTTGACAGAAAAAAAATTTCTTACGATTACAGTTTTTTTCATTACTGTAAAATTTAGAAGAGAATGCAAACGTTTCCAAATAACAATATACTGCCAAAGACATTATGCATTGTCTTATGATTCGCTTTGTAGTCAAAATAATCATTTAGTTTTGTTGAACATAACTCATGTGTATCCATAAAGATCATTAAGCCGTCATCAAGGCCCTTATATATTTTGTATAATGTCATTAAACTAAATTACAAATATTAGTACAAGCTTTTGAAAACTTTACCTTTGTTGACGCTACCATACGAAAATGTGAAAATTGAAAATTTGGATATATATATTTGAATATATATATATATATATATATATNATATATATATATATATATACATAAAAATAAATTGCTTGAAGCAATACGAACCATCATAATAATTTAAAAATATTCTTGTTTTCTGTTCATTGGAGTGATGTTTCCGGTCTAGAGACGATCTACGTTAAAATAATTGTTTTCTTTTCGCATTATAACTAAATGCCTTTTTTAATATCTTCTACTCTTATCTCCTTACAAGACATGTTAAGTGTATAAGTATTCTTCTTAAGGCACTTTGGATGTGCCGATAAAAGGTTAGTTTATAGTATTCGCATCTTTTCAGTGGTTGAAGTTCTTTGAATCTAGCGTCTCAATATTAAAATTACTGGCATCCTGCGTACCGGTATCTTATACGGTAATTTTATTTGGAATTTTTTAAATTGTAAAATTCAACAAGGTTTGTCAAAACACTAAAGAAAAGTTAATTTCCAAAAATGTGAAAATGGGAACTGTCTGAAATTGAAAAGATATTAATACATTCTCATTTCCTGCCTCCATTAAAGCTATTCACTTTTTATTCTAAAATTTCAAATAATGTCTAAGAAAAATATTAAAATTTGAAATATAAACAGAGGGATAATACTCCTTCTGGAATTTTTAAATTGACGTTCAGAATGTTAGTCATTCCTGTGTTTATATTTCTATATTTATTCAGCTGTTTTTTAAATTCTGAAAGATGGAAAGGATTGCACAGGAATAAGTTCTTAAAATAAATTTATAGTCCAGCACAAATGTCTGATATGGAAGATTCATTACTTACGGATCATCATTGAAATTTCTGCCACTGAGTGACAGATAAACATTTTCATCTGACGTTCCGTCCCATTCCCCTGCTGTGAAGATTCTCGTTTCTTGCGAAGTTGAATAGATTACATATGTACAAATAAAGAAAAATATTATCAGGCAGTCACTTTGAATAATTCTTGAAAATGAATGCATCTCGACTCTTTTCACATTGAAAGTTCTAGAAGTAGGACAACATTAAACACTAAACCTTTTTCTTTCGATTTGATGGCTTCATGTTTGCATACAATCTGAAAAAAAGAACAAAAAATTTAGAGTTTAACTTAAAGAAATCATATTATGGATCGAAACTAGGGCGCATACTTTTAACAGACTTTTAAAAACATAAAGATAAGCGAGTTGTTTAACTTGATGCTCCTTAGAGTTACGTAATTTGTTACTCTATAAAATTAATAATTAATTTGTTTATTCGTAAAATTAAAAACTATATGAGGGGTAATTTTTTAAAATAAAATAAATAATGAATGTAGTAAAAGATATTGAGCTACGCTGAGAAAAAAGTATATTCAAAACTACCAGAATATGGTAAAATTCACAGTGTTTCTGGTTCTATGGGAACAGCAAAACCCACGGTAAATTTTACCGAGATGTAATAATTTTGGTAATAATAATAATTTGTACATTGATGGTAATAATTTTGGTAGCATTAACAGTAAAATATGGTTATAAAACGTGTGATAAAATTCGGTAAATGTGGTAAAATTTGGTAATTTTATCATAATACCTTGAAACATAGCGTAAAAACCATTTATTTGGTAAAATTTACTTTTCAGTTCTGTATTTTTTTGAAAACCAGAATTTTTGGTAAACTGTAACCATATAAACGGAAAAAATATCAAATGAATAATTCAAATACCATATATTTTGGTTTTTATTGACATAATTATAATTTTTTTTTCAAAAAATTCAATTATCATACAGTATGGTAATTCTACCAGAATTCTTTTCTCCGTGAAAAACATACTAAACCAGAGGTTTAAATTAATGCTCCTTTGAAAAATTTAATTTTTTTCCGCTTTAGTACAGTAAAAATTTTTAAAAAATTTATAATTAATTTATTTGCAAAATTAAAAATTGTACGTGGTTTAATTTCTTATTAAAATAAACAATGCACGTATAAAAAAGTATCTAGTTCCACATGTTTTAGGGCAATAAAAAAATCAATAGCAGTTTTATATGAACAAAAATGAATACGTATCGCATACCGAAGTATAGGAACATAGGAAGGACGTGTAAGATTAATTTTTCTGCAAACTTAGCTCTGGTTACAAACAATTTTTATTAATTTACCACTTCAAATTATGGCAAAAGAAGTTGCTGATTCGTATTTCTGTTAAGTATTATGTTTCTTTTTTAATTATATTGTATTTCTTTGGACGGATTTGGATTATTCATCATTTCTTGAATTATATAAAGGATAAAGCAACGAAGAATGTCTCTAACCCTATTTTTAAAATATTGAGTTATTTTCTTCAATAAAAAAGGTATATGTTCACAGTTTATCTTACACAGAGAAAAATCCAATTACACTCTCTTAAGCAAAGATACTAGTTTCATGAATGTGTCTCGTATATCAAGGCATGTGGAGATATCTTAAGGTTATGTGTTATCATCAGGATATGTTATGATTATTCATTATATTTAATTATTACGTTTATTAATGTTAGAAGCATTTTTAAATAGCAAGAAATACACATTTTTACCTCGTTTTTAACTATGTAGTTCTAGCTAAAAAATCAAAAATTCTAGGAAAATTGGTCAAAAGGTTTCTAAAAGATTTAATTTCAGATATTTTTTTCTGGTATTATATTTTTCTTTTTTATGAAAAAATATTTCTTATTTTGTCTGATCTTTTAAGTATAATGAGCAAAATACAGTTTTAAATGAGTAATTTTAAGCTATTCACTTGTTTTATCTAAAAATAAAATTTGAATTGTTTATTACATTTTTCGTTTTTTAGGAAAAAATATTTCTTATTCTGTCTGGTCTTTTCAAGTATAATGAGCAAAATAAAGTGACTTGTACCCAGAGCCTGATTCTCGCCTAGGCCCAATAGGCATGAGCCTAGGGCCCACAATTTCTAAAGGAACTTAAAAGTTAGTAAAAAGTCCTCAATATTGCAATTTCTTTTAAATACTGAAAGAAACAGTTTTTCTCAAAAAATATCTTTTTTTTTATTTCAAATTTTCGTTATATTGTGACAAAGTCACACTCACGGAAACATTGCAGTAATAAAATTCGTAAATAACGTGGGCTAGCTTTGTGTTCGTTTAACTAATGAATAATTACAGCTTAATGACACAGCAAAAGTCCATGATAGTTCTTGTTTATGGTCGCCAAAAGGCTTTAACTATTTTTATTCGAACATAACTTTGTTTCTTTTTTCATATTCTGCTTTTATATATCTTTAGTAATATTTAAGATCAAATTTTAAAGCAGTAAGAGCCTATAATGTTAAAAGCTGAATCAGATATTCCTGCAGAACAGGATTTTGAAATTCTCATAAAATTATTTGATAATAATTATTATCAAATTTTGTCCCTCAAACATCTGATACAAAATTCATAAGTGTTTTCAAAATTAATTTAACTTACAGGTAAGATCCCTTTACCTTGACATAATTTGAACGGGTACGATTACTCCAATTCAATATCTTTACCCGCACTTTTTTTCTCATTATGCCATCAATTGTTGAAAAGATTCGATCAAATCAGTATTTTGAAACAATTTAAACAATTGCATTTACAGATATGAATATAAATTGGTATAAACGTACATGAGGTGCTCGTAAAACTTTATATCCGCGTTACCTGCATAATAATTCTTTTTTCTTTAGGTCAGAGTGATTTGAACATAAAGCTCCCTCAGAAATATTAGGCCCAAAATATCAACATATTCCATCAAATATTCTAAGCTTCACCCATTAAAAGATCTTCACAAGCATGACATATTGAAAACAATAAAAACAAAAGATGAATGACAATCTTATGCAGATTTACAACTGAAAAACTCGAGTGTTTTAAGTCTTGCGCGTCTCTCACAGAACAAACCGTTAGAACTCAGAATAAATTTGTGTACACATCGTAATGCGGAAAATCACTAAATATATTTTTGTGGAAACAATAGGTGAAGGTTTTTTTGGATCTAAAGTTTGTCTTATTCTGACAGAAATTCAATGAAAAAAAGAATACAATTTTCTTTGAAGAATCAGATTAAGTTAAGTAGTTCTCTTCTTTTAGTTTTATTATTCTTTTTATTTTACGGAAGCATCAAAAGAAATCGCATTTTAATTCATTGAATAGTAGCTGATGATCAAAATATTGATGTTAAAGAAGGTTTTTTTTTTCAATTTTCAGTTCGTCCCTTCGAAAACTTGCATTCTCACTGCCTAATCTTCTCAAAATAATCTTTGAGCTAATCAAAATAATATAATTAATCTGTTAGAATCTACAACAGTACCTCATAAAATTTTACTTACGTTTTTTACATACATATATCAAAATGATCCAAATATTTTCTCAAGTTCTAAAAAAACAAATAAACTTTAATTTGAAAGAAAATACTTGTAAATGTTCTTTCAAACAAAACTTTTTTATAAAATACATCTGGTTTTCTTTTCAGTTTTAGGCACTCTATTTTCAAATTAAGCTTTCTGTTTCATAAGTTTAAAAGAACTTCTGACATTTAATTAAAATAACATGAAATTTCAATTTGTATTCAACAATTATCAAAAATTTAGAAAATCAGTCTTAATTATTTTATTTTACTATGCCACCGTTATTAAACAACCTTTCCACTTATTTAAATTTAAGGCAATAATATTCCCCTATATGTCCTCGTTGTTTTAAGCCGGGGTTTTAACATGAATTTTCAATTTGTATTTCACAATTATCAAAAATTTAGAAAATCAGTCTTAATTATTTTATTTCACTTTGTCACCGTTGTTAAACAACCTTTCCACTTATTTAAATTTAAGGCAATAATCTTTCCCTACATGCCCTCGTGGTTTTAAACCGTGGTTTTAATATGAAATTTCAATTTGTATTCAATAATTATCAAAAATTTAGAAAATCAGTCTTAATTATTTTATTTTACTTCGTCACCGTTGGGAAACAACCTTTCCACTTACTTAAATTTAAGGCAATAATATTTCCCTACATGACCTCGTGGTTTTAAACCAAACTCAAAATATAAGAGAATTCGTGAGTATAATGAAAATTTACCTTTCCAGGAGGATATCTTTAGATAAACTAATATACATTTTGCGAAACAAATATTACAGTCATGAAACCTTATCATGGTCAGCCCGATGACATGATTCATCCATCAATAGAATTATTTCATGTCGGCACAGTGGGTAAAAGCAAGACATGCTTGTGTATAAAGCGATGTTCAAACCCCTTAACTATCCAGTCCTATTTACAAATATTATTATTTTTAATCACTTTTATTACCTTTTTACGTTTTTATTGTTGTATAGATGGGATTCAAAACAATATTTTATTTTGCCATAAGTTGTTGCTATATATGTTGCTTTTAACCACCGAATTCTGCTAATTTTCTTCAATGTTGTCAGTATTTCTCGGTAAAAAGATATGCAATATGAGTAAAAATTAAACAACATTCAAATAATAGCAAATTTCGAAACGGAGAAAACTTTAATAAAAATTCAGTTTTATTGCTCCATGCTTTCGATAAATCATAAGAAGGACAAAACTCATGTTTAACGCATTTTGACGTAAAATTATTACGAAATGCGTCCGTTAAAAACTAGGACACATGCATTGTAATAAATTCTGGATCAAATTGAGATAAAAGGTACCGGCACTCAGGATGCAGATCCTTTTTACAAATCCATTTTTACCGAAGCATGAAATTCTGATATACCTGAACAAAAAATTTGATAAACTGTATTTTTTACAGTAATAATTAGTATGAAGTCACTGAATTACTTTAATTAAATAAAGATTACTGTAAAAATTGCAGTTTAATATTTCACGGATGGTGCACTTAAAGTGTCAGTTCTTTTTACCGTAAATTTGTGTGCTACAATGTACGATCCGAAAAAAAATTATCAATGGTTTGTCTATTTTTGATGTTTTTGACCTCCTCAAATGTACTTATTTTCATGAATATAATAACTTTTTGATATTGCGAAGTTTTATTTTCATAACGTTGATCTTCAACTTCGGATGTTTAATTAACAAATGACTGAAAAGATTTTGAGCTCGATAAAGGAGTTTAGATCAATACTTCTATGTATAACTTCCATATTATTGTTTTGAAACAAGAATTTTTTTAAATACGAGTTCTGCGAACTCGAGCATTATCATGTTGAAAAGTCCATTTCTGACGGCCGAATCAATTGTGTTAAGCAAAAAAATGATCTTTAAACTCACATTTATATGCACTTCTGAAATCTGAAGAGCCGAATACTTTAAAATAAAATTATTCTTATTTTTTGAGTTTTTTCCTTGCTTTAGTTTTACAAATCGGTGATTAAAATCTTATAGCTTTAATTTTGTTTCTTAAAAAAAGTGTATCTAGTGACAGTGAATTTTCAAGACATACTTTTTTTAATTATATATAAATATTTTTTAATAAATGATAAGTCGTTTACTTAATATTGAACAGAAAACAGCTACAAATTTTCTCCTCATTGAAATACAGTTAACTTTTGTAAACTTAAAATTATAAAAAAAGCAAAAATTGCCAGCCTTTTGAAGTAAAACTCTGCAAATGTCTCTGCATGAAAATCAATTGAAATAAGAATATCAAATTATCAATTTGTATTATTATGAAATATTTACCAATGTCTATAATATTTTGGATAGACAAATTATGTTGTTTTGCATTCTTCAAAAGGATTTTTCACACTGAGAAAAAAGTATGGTCAAAGCTACCAAAATAAAGTAAAACTTATTGTATTTCTGGCTCTATGGGGACGCCAAAAAGCTCGGTTATTTTTACTGCTGCGCATTTCTTATGATTTTGCTAAAATTGGCAAGAAAATATAATATTTAATAAAATTTGGCAAATGTGGTAAAAGTTGGTAATTTTGTCATGATACTTTAGAGCATGGAATAAAAACCATTTATTCACTTAAATTTACTATTCAGTCTTGTATTTTTTACTAAATGAGTGGTATTAAGAACTATAAGTTTGAAAATCAGCTATGCCATATAAACGGAAAAATTACGAAATCAGTGCTTTAAATATCGTGTATTTTGATTTTATTAACCTGAATTATGGAGGTTTTTTACCAAAAATGTCATTACCATGCAATACGGTAATTTTACCAGAATTTTTTTCTCCGAGTAGAAAAAATCTTTCAATACATAGTTTTTGTTATTTATCTATAACAGCTTAAAGCAATCATTATGAAATATTTTTTAAATCTATATAACATTTTTAACAATCTTTTGGACTGACCAAAATATAACAAGTATAAGAAACTTTTCGATATCAAGATATTTACAAAATTTTTCATGCATTAATTTATTTTCTTTTGTTGGATATAAAGGGATAATTGAGATTTTTATTTTTGAAATTGTCTGGCTCCCCGTGAAACTTACATTTAACAATGCATTTCAGAAAATGTTCTATTTTAATTATGAAATTAATGCTGTACTTTTTTAAATTAAATAAAATTAGCTAGCAAATGAAGCTGATCTGTACCTTTATGTACCACAAAAAAAATTGAAGCTCAGAGAAATTCTATAAATAAAGTTGAAAAATGTCTACATTTTGCACCAGTTACTACTTTGCCAATTCTAAATACACATCTTTAAATTTATTCGCAAACACTATGTGCCGAATACCCTCTTGCAAGTACTACTGCAAATAGCAATAAAGTCTTGCATTCACGTATTAATAAACTAACTTCTAACTTAAAAGTTGACTTTGTTGCTATTTGGCTTCGGATTACCCTATCGATTACTAACATATATGGCAACGTTACTTTTAAAAAGTAACGAGTAAAAGTACAAGTATTTTTAAAAAAGTAAGGAGTAAAAAGTTCTTATTTTAAAAAGTAACGAGTAAAAAGTACAAGTACAAGTACAAGTACTAAACAAAAAAAGTAACGATTTAAAAGTACATTTCTAGGAAATCGAAAATTCAAAGTAACCTAAAATTTTATTGAATAATATTCTTATGTTCTTTAATGTTTTTGCAAAATTGTTGTTATTTATTTAATTATTTTTAATTTTGAAAGTTATGGACATTAATTTATTTTTAAATTCGGAAGAATATTATAATATAATTTTATAATATAATCGTATAATATAATTTTAAAATCAAATATAATTTTAATATCAAACTTTTTATGGATTTGCACGAAAAAGAAATTTTATCTATTGATTTTAATTTTTAGTTTATTATTTTTATTTATTTAAATTACCATTGATTTAAAATTGTTTTACTCTTTAGAAACGCGTTTTAAAAGCACAAACATAAACAAAGCAAACACGGGGTTTCAGATAGCTTTGTGATCTTTGAGCTAGTAAAAAATAATTGAATGTGCAGTATAAGTTGAAACAGAAGGTATTTAAACACGAAGTTAGCTGTGAATGCATATATATTGCACATTAATTTTATAAATTAAAAAAACATAAGCATTTTTTTTTAATTTTAATTTCTTTTTTTTTTAGAAAGCTTACCGAGTTTTAGAAAAAAGTAACGATTTCATTCGATATTTCCGTTACAAATACTTGTACTTTTTCCCTAAAAAAGTAACGAAAGTACAAGTAAAAGTACTGAATTTAAAAAGTAACGAAGTACAAGTAAAAGTACGTACTTTTTACTTGTACCGGCGGTACAAGTAACGAAAGTAAAAGTTCTGCCATATATGATTACTAATAATAATTTAAATTGATGAAAACTATATAACTTCTAGGTAAAATGTATTATAAACTATTAAATACATAGAGAGAAAAATTCTGGTAAAATTACCCTATTGTATGATAATGACATTTCTAGTAAAAGAATGATTCTGGTAATAAAAATCAAAATATACAGTATTTAAACCATTCATTTTGTAATTTTTCTGTTCATATATTTGCGGCTAAGCAGAAATTCTGATTTTCAAAACAATAGTTCGTATTGCTACATATTTAGTGAAAAATACAAAATTTAAAATTTAACCAAATAAAAGGTTTTTATGCCATGCTATAAAATATCATTATAAAATTACGGCATTTACCAAATTTTATCACAGATAATAAAACCATATTTTATTATTAATTTTACCAAAATCATTATCAAAGTGCTTCTGTGAAAACTACTGAGTTTTTGGGTGTTCCCACAGAGCCAGGAACGCAATGAATTTTACCATATTTTGGTAGTTTTGACCATACTTTTTTGTCTCGGTCTACTTTTGTTTGAAAAATGTAACCAAAATATCGTTTGTATGAGTAACTGTATTATTCCCTACAGATTGTTTACAAATGATTTTTAATGTATATTCGAACAAATATTGCTGAAAGAAACATATAAAAAGTAAATCAAGAAAATTTTCAATTCTAAAGCATTTAATAAATATTTTTAAAACAATGGAATTGATAAAATGTCTTAAAATCAAGATATTTAATCAATAAAAAATGAGCCACACCCATTTTATTAGGACTTTACTTTCGTTCTAAAAAATTGAAATTCATAAAAAAAATCTCTCAGTATAAGTTTAGGATGAAAGAGCGCAAAGAAAAAGCATATTTAGCATTTTTCAATTGATATGTAAATTTCATAGTGAATTTTAAAAGGATATACGAAAAATTCCAAAAAAATGATTTCTGAAATATTTTCAGATTAGATTTTTAAAGTAAATATAAATGAATTAAAAAAGGAAAAAAGCAGTTTCATTAAAGTACAAAAATTTGAATTTCTTTCAAGAAATGAATTAGAAAATTTTAATGACTCAATATTTCTTTTAATTATTGGTAATATGAGACTTAGTATTGGCGGAAAAATACATTTAAATATATGAAACGTGTAAAAATGCATTTTGTACTTTAATACCTTTGACAATTCTGATATCAAAGGGGTTTCCCTGAGGAAAAAAAATCTTGGACATCGATATATTGGAAATGAGCTTTACTTTATCATTAAGCAATTCCATTAATAAATTAGTATATTATGATATACAAAAAGCTCAAGGGAAATTATTAGTACATCATAATGTTAAGTGTAGTGACATCTAAATTTTCTTTTGAAAACATTTTAAATGATTGAACACTTTACACGATTTAAATGAACTCTTTACATGATTTATTTATTTTGGATATGCTAAATAAGAATGTGGAGATGTTACGCGTCTTTTGAACATGTTAAGTGAAAGTTTTGAAAATGCTCAATTTTTCATGTTTCAAACCTTGTTGTTGACGACAGTAACCATAGAACATTAATTTATCCTGCCAAATCTTTAAATATAATTGTTTTCAATAGAAAAAAATTATTTTATCTATCACTTTCTGGTGTTTCTATCCATTATAAAATTGATTTTCTAAAAACATATATTAAAATGTTTCTTAATATAATTTTCAATTAAACTTTTCAAGTAAAGCCACCGGCGCTCAATTAAGAATTTTTTTTTAAAAAATATATTTATGTTGCTGTTAATAAACCGGTAAATTATGTTTGCTTACATATTAGTATCTATTTTCTGATCATTCTATTTTGTAGACTATTTATAATGCTTTTAGGCACTAAATAGATGTCATTACACCATCATTAAAATAATAATACACTTTATTAAATTTATTTTAAAATAAATCATTAAATAGCAAATTAAAATTAGTTTCAAAAATGTGTCGTTTTTATTATTTAGACAAACAAATTAGGTAAATAAAGGAAATTTTTAAAAAATATGTTTCTTCAATTGCTTTTTTGCTTTTTTTAAAGAATTGCTGTATTGCAGAAGAAGTGTATTGCTTTTCTTTTAAAGAAAAGTAATATCTATATCTAATAATTCATCACATTTTTTTAACTACTCATTTATTACATAAAATTGTTGCATTTTTATTTTCAAACAAAATATTGGCAAAAATAAAAAAGAAATACTACTGTTTCCTTAATATTAAAATAATTGATTTCTACTATGGTATTACAATTTAAAAATAAAAAAATATATTAATTTCCAAATTTTTTTTTATATATTTATGAAATGAAAAACTTACCTTAAATAAGCCTGCAATGTAATCCAATGCAATTATTACTATAAAAACACACCTAATTCATATAAATATATAATTTCTAATGAAACGAAACTTAAGGTATCCGAGGACCAAGTGTGCGAATGTCTGGACAGTAAATAAACAAAAGCGGCTCTCCATGGTGATTTTGATAATGCGACTTTCCTTGGCGCATGTGTCCGAACTGCGCAAGCGTCATATTATTTGAAAACCATTTTTACGTCTACTGTTAGAGTTGCTTGGCTACTTTGTTATTAAATAGGTTGTTCTTTTCGCTCTTTAATTACCTTTCATAATATTTCCTTTGAACAATGATTTCAAACGCTACTCAATAACGCAATATTTAATAGACAGAGAGGGGGAAAGAGACGACGTTATTGGTTAAAAATTACGAGAAGGTAGCTTTGATTTCATTCGATATCAAATTCTATGAGGTCACATGGTATTATCATAATTTTTTTTATAAAAAGAGGCTATTTAAATCTTATGAAAGTTTACATTTTCACAGTGTTACTGAAATTCATAACTGATGGTTCACTGTAAAAAATTCCGGAGCAAATTACGGTAAAATGTACTAGCATTCAGGGTACCGGTATTTTTTACTATGAAATCCTTTTTTTACCGAATTGTGTTACGGAACAAAAAATCTGATGGACAGTAATTTTTACAGTAATAATTGCTACAAAATCACTAAATCTCTCTAATTAAATAAATATTACTGTAAAAATTGCGGTAAAATGAATTTTACAGTATAATGGATTTTATGGATGATGCGTACCCAATGAGTCGGTACTGTAATTTGATCCGGAATTTTTTACAGTGTGTTTAAAGTGACTCGAAATATTTTAACTATTCTATGTCGCAATTTCATGATTCTGACTTGAAAAGGCTGAGTTAAAAAGTATATATAGCATTTTTAAATGAATTGTTAAGAATTATAAAAATCAAAGAAAGGAAGATATTAATTAAATTAGTAATTATATTTTTAAATATAGAATTCCTTATCTAATAATTTTTCCGTTCGAAATGACAATTGAAAGCTTAAAGTAATGAGTATCAAATACTGAGAAAGTTAATTTCATGACATGTAAAACTCTATTGAAAAATTAAAACTTCTTGCATTTTTTTCAGCTTCCGTTCTTCGTTCGGTATATTGACGAATCGAAACTATTTGGAGAACTTTCCGGTTTCAATCTGTAAATAAAGTTATTTTAATTATTTTTACACGACCACTCCATAGTTTGTTTTTCGCAATGATTCCGCAGAATTTTGAAATAATTTTTTATCACTTAAATATCTTTAACCATTTTAAGAAAATTCTATGATAATTTTTTTCCGACGAGGAATATAACTAAATTTATTAAAAAATAATAATAATAAGTAGAGAACATCCCAAATAGGTCATTTTTAAAAAATAAAAAAAATTGCACTCTTGATATCCCGTGACTTTACTCGTAAGTAAATTTAATTACTAAAATAAAATTTCGAATAACATTTTTGATTCAAATTTATTTATTGTATGTTTTTAGTAAATGTAGATACATATTAATTAGTATTTTAAAAATAAGGTCCGTGCAATACCTTTTTAATACGTCAGAAACAGCTAAATTGCTATTTCCCAGAATTCCTTGCTTCTTATTTTACCGCAATTAAACTAACTATTAAATGAAAATAATTTTAATTTATCCAGTTGAAAAATTTTGTTATATGTAATATACAGCACAGTTCATCTAATATACGGTATTAAAATTACTTCTGCGCAAAAATCTAACTTCTTAATGTTGTACCAGGATTTTTTCAACTCTGTTACCATAATAATTTTATTAAATCATTTCTGTTGAGTGCCATGGATGCCATGACATCCTCAGTGGTAGACAAATCATGGGTTAGAGTTCCCTTGCCTTCAGGCTAACCATGTGAGGTTCTCGTAGTCTTCCTCTCCATGTAACGCAAATGCGGGTAAGTTTCATCAAAAAGTCCTCCATGAAGGCAAATTTCTCCCAATACTAAAATACAGGAGTACCCTGTCTTCTGGATTGGGTTAAAAATTACAAGGCTACATAGTTGTACATTAGTAGCCGTAAACCCAAAAATTAGGTCAGATGTTCAACGACGGTTATAAAATAAAATATAATAAAATATTTTTATATTGAGCAGTAGTGGCTCAGAGAATCGAACGCTCACCTCCCAATGAGGTAACCCAGGCTCAATCTCAGAGATGGCCGGCCGATACGAATTCCACACCTGGCTCACTCCGACCACTGTGCTGACATAAAATATCCTCAAGGGTAGACCGATGAGTAAAAGTCTCCTTCCCATCAGAGGCTTTCCGTGGGAGGCTTTCGTAGTCTTCCTCTCCATGTAACGAAAGTGCGGGTTAGTTCCATCAAAAAAGTCCGCCACAAAGGCAAATATTTCCTTGATCCAGGAGTTCCCCTGTCTTCAGTATTGGGTTCAAAATTGCAAGGATACAAAGTTGAACATCATTGGTAGTCGTAAACGCAAAATTAGGTCAACTGTTCAACAACGGTTATGAAATTTTATATAAAGAAAAGTATTTTTATATTAACCGTGGTGGCTCAGAGGATGTAACGCTCGCTTCCCAATGAGGTGACCCAAGTTCGAATCCCATCGATGGCTGGATGATATGGCTTTTGAACCCGGCTCACACCAACCACAGCGCTGATGTAAGCGGTAGACGCCAGTGGTAGACGGATGACGGGTTAAGTCCTCTTGTTGGCGAGCTAACCGTGGTAGGTTTTCGTGGTTTTCTCCTCCATGTTACGTGAATGCGGGTTAGTTCCATCTAAAAATTCTCCTCGAAAGCTAACTTCTCCCAATGATTCATCCAGAAGTGCCCTGGTCTGGGTAGGATTTAAAATTACAAGACTACGAATGTGAACATTGATAGTTGTAAATTTCAGAATTAGGTCTGCTGTTCCACGTCGGTAATAAACTCTCTCTCTCTCTCTCTCTCTCTCTCTCTCTCTCTCTCTCTCTCTTTTTTTTTTTTTTCTACGAGTGCAAAAATATTTCTAAATGCACTTTCAAAGTTTTCTAGAGAGAGAGAGAAATTAAATTCTAAGATGAGATTCCTGAGATGCGTTACTAAGTCTAGTAATTTGAAAGATTACTAGAACGTTTCTAGTGAATATTATTATGAAAATATGAAGAGTTATCAAATAAGGGTAAGAAAATAAGGGTATGACCTTTTTTTTCTTCAAATCAATTAATATTATCAGATGCTAGAATATATATTCGTTCAATGTAAAAATTTTGTGTTGCCAAGTATAGTAATTTTCAATGCATAATCATTGTCATTTATAAAGTCATCTTTGCTTTATTTTTTAAAAAAAAAACAATTAAAATTTTAATTTATTTAAGATTTAAAGTTAAAAGTTTTTGTGAACAATCTTATTTATTAAAACGTTATACAAACTTAAAACTTTTTTTCTCGACATTACGAAAAATTACTTTCGAATTGAGGTCGAAAATAAATATCAGTTGTCAGCAAAACACTTGATGCATGCTACCTTAGTTAAAATTCATCTATAGTAGCACGCATATCAAAAGAATACTTAAAATATTTTGGGTTGAAGAAACTTTCTGCGAATTTGTGCATTTCTGAGACCATTCCTAAGGGCCATAAACACTAATGAAATTACGATTTATTTCGTAAGATTTTACCGCAATTTGATCCAAATTTTTTTACAGTACATGGCTGTTCAAAGATATAGCCTTGGATATATGCATAAAATATTGTGTATTATCTCTGAACATTGTTATTTTACACTTAAACAAGCATGAATATAGAACTGGCAAAAATGATTAGTCGATAAAATGATTAAAAAACATTCTTTATTTTGTTTATAGCATAACCATATGGATCATTCCACGTCAAAGGAAACAAGATTTTTTTATTTTATCATTTTCAATTTTGATAAATTCTGGTACATGAATTACATGGGGAACTTATTCTAACTTCAATGAAACAGCAGCATATAATATTATTTATTTATATTTAGTGCTAGAACTCGACACGAGAGAGCAGCACTAAAATTCAAAAGGGGAGATCAAAAAATGTTTCCCTTTCAAAAATTTTCTGACTTCAATAATTTTCATTTCAAAACAAATTGAAACAAAACTTAAATCTCAATATTTTTGTGGTAAGGTATATTGCGTGTCCCAAGATTTTTAAAAAATATATATATTATTTTCTTGATAAATATGTATTTTTCAATTATTTTCAAGGGAAAAAAAAAAAGAAAGAAAGAGAGTGCGAATTAAGCCTGACAGAAATATGTTATTTCAAATTTATAATTTTAATTGAATACGATGACTGAATAGAATTTTTTTTACAGTTTATTTTAATATTAAACATAAAACTATTGGGAAAAAAATATACCTTATTCAGCATTTAATGAATGTAAAACTGTGACTAAGTATCTTTATTTTAAAATGTTGCATAATAAGATACTATAATGTGATATTATTTTATAATATTATAAACAACACTTTCAATTTTAAACTTTCTTTTATTAAATATCTCTGCATTCAAAATAGAACAGAATAAAATTACCTATTATAAGAGATAAATAATAATTTACAGATAAATCCTACAGCTGTAACTTCCTTTGTAAATTTTAAAGGGTAAGTTTTTAAGTGATGTCAGTCAAAGAATTCTCTTTTTTGTTAAATAGGACATTATGGACATTATATGATTTTTTCTAGCCAAGGTGAAATCAACTATAACGCGGTTTTAAATCTTTTTTTATTAATGTATTTTTTTAAATATATTTCTCATATGTAAAAATGAGCCTATCAATGATTTTAAAAAATAATAATAATAAGAGGAGAGAGAGATAAAAATTTCTTCAAATATTAAATTTTCATTTTCACTTGCGTAGTTTTTATAAACATACCAGAGACTATATACACTATTATAATTTCGAATAACGGTGTTCTGCGACATACTTATCTATGAGAAGTTTTAATTAAAATAACTTATGTTGAAATACAGTAATACTTAGTCTAAAAAATCAATTTAAATATTTTTTTATTAATTAATATACTGAACTGGTAAAAGCGGGTGAAATTTGTATTCAATGGGAAAAAATACGCATCCAAATTTTTAATAAGAAAGGGGGGGATGAAGAAGTCTGCCCACAACTACCGGCAACCCATCATCAATTAGATGGCTTGCGCCAGTCGCGTGTGGGAAGTAAGGCAAGCCTTGATTGGTCAAATTTTGAAATATCTCTGTTGAGAAGAATAAATATGTTATACACAAAAAACATGATGAGTTTGTTTAAAAAGGACACTATATGCTAAATATTCTTGAAATTAA